AACAAAGAAAAATAAAAGAGTGAAAACAATTATCCAATAAATACAAATTAATAAATAGAATGTACAAAATTCTTTTGTAATCAATATTAATTATAAATTTTAGATTTTTCTTGTCGTTGTGAAATTTGAATTATTCTTGTAATGACTAGTCAGGATAAGTGAGGTTTATCATAATCTCAAATAACACAAGGATATTTCATCACAAGTTCTTTACTCATTTAAATCCACAAGGTCAAACCTCTAACTACAAATTAATTCAAATTTTCATTCTTATGACCATAGATTAACATTTATTTTTGTAAGTAATATAATAAGTTAAGCTTAGAAAGATTTAAAAAAAACTATATTATAGTTAGAAATAATATAAAAATGTTTAAACTAAACGATTTAGAATATTTTTAATAATTTAAAATTTAGTACAACATAGTTTACAACAATGAGATGTGCTTAAGAATATTAAACTAGTTATATGACCGTTGTAAATATCATAAAATAATAAAATAACATAAATTAGTAACACCTTATTGACTATTTAGAATTAAAAATATCATAGATTAAACAAGTGAATGAGGTTAGAAACACCTCACTAAATAAATATATCTGTATTTAACACATAAATGGTTGATATACTAGCATAAAAAAGAAAGTCCTTTGTGTATTTTTAAAAATATAAATAAAATTAAAGTGGAAAATTAATAATTAGAGAGTCTAAACACTATTTAGATAATTATAATTACAAGGGTAGTTTTTGAAGAATAGTGAAGAGAAAAAATAGTTTAAAATTAATATAGTTATATATAAGAATAAAATTATAAAATTAATGTATACATCAAAATGAGAAATCATGTTTTATTAATAAAAATTATAAATAAAAACATACAACTCCATTATAAAAAAAAATAGTTAAGGCGTGAATCTAAGTCTAACACTTCACGAATTTTTATTTGTGAATAAATGAGAAATACTCTTTGTTTAGGCCGATGGTTGTTGATTCTCATTAATGTTACTTTTCAATTCTTCTTCTCTATAGCCACCTACTTTAAGTCTTCGAGAGAATAATAATTTTTTTAATTGTTAATTAATAAGCAATTATGTTAAGTCATTTATAGTATTTTGAAAGTTGTTAACTAAAAAATAAATTTGGAAATGAATTGCAGACATCAAAAAGTGTTTTTTCTTTAATTATTATTATTATTATTATCGTAAAATATATACTTTGTGTCTCTTTATATTTTAAAAATATATAAAAAAGTGAATAGTTGATAATAAGTTTTTGAGTAAGTATAAATGTAAGAATAATTTTTTAAGAAAACTAGAGAAAGAAATAGTAGTTTAAGATATGATTATATGGAGAAAGTGGTTACCAAAATATATAATCTCTTTATTAATAGGATAAATTATAGATTAATCCAAGTGTTTAAGTGAAAGAAACGGAATACAACTATCTTTACATGAAAAATGAAGTATAGAAGTGTTTTTGTTTTTTGAGCTTAAAAACAATTTTTATTTTAAAAAATTAAAAACCTGTTTGAGAAGACTAATTTCTGAAAAATATTTGTAAAATTTTACTTTTCCGTTTTAAAACTAAAAAATTAGAGCATTTATTAGTTATTATAATTTATTTTTATTTTTTATTTGTTATTATTCATGTTTTTATGGCGTTGTATTTTTTTTTTCTCTTTTCAACAACTTTCTTCTAAAAATCATTGTAAAAAGTATTTTAAAAAAACACCCTTGAACTTATCCTTAATTGTTCTTTTTTCTGTCTTAATTACCAAACCTTCTTTTAGAAATCACATAAGTATCTTTTATACAATGTCAGTAAGCTTAAGTTAGATGCTAATTAAAAGATTTAAATATGTTTTGCGTAAAAATATAGTTATTTTATGGTTTTAGTCCATGTATTTTATTTTATTTTTTTATATTAACATCATGTATATTTTAATTATAAAATAAAAATATATCAATGTTATATATCGGATAAGATCCAGTCAACACGATACTATAACATATTATATTAATATCAATATTATGTATATTTAAATTATAAAATAACAATATAAAACTTAAATAGGTATACTGTAGTAACTTGTTGAGGTATGTAAGAGCATTGCACTTCGCAAATGCTTGGAAATTGGAATATACAAAACTAACAAATCCATAACACATAAAAGAGAGGGGATTGATTAAAAAAGCAGAAAACAAAATTGTGTTGAAGAAAAAAAAAAGTAAAAAATAAATACCTTAATTTAAAACGTTAGCTTTTAAAAGAAATTAAAACCACGACGACAAAATATTAATATCTTATTAAAATCAATACTAACACTTTAAAAATTGTAAGTTGTCAATTTTTATGATAAATAAATAAGTATAAAATCTTAGGTGATATTTAATTAGTTAGAAAAATACACTTTCTGGCGTGTTATCGGGAATTCACCTTTCGTGGACAACAATATAGGCTCAACAAACAGGGAATAATTTACTATTTTATTCCAAAACAATAAATAAATAGAATCTATGCCAAAATTCCTTTTGATAGGTGCATTGTATATACTAAAGTAAAATGTTTGAGATTGTCTACTTTACAGATATTTCAATGCTTTTATGATATTACCTCTTAATCATTAAAGTATGTTTGTACTATATAATTTATTATTTTTTATCTTATTTTATTGATGTGAGACTTATTTGTATCCCAACATGTAATTAGTGACTAGTGTATAACATTCTAGTACTCATGCATGTATTTTACTTTAGTTGCAATCTTGCAATCATTCATCTGATATCTTCATGGGTCATGCTTGTAACTAATTTCAATTTCAATTACTTTTAGGAACTGGTTCAATTGTTGTTCATATGAATTTAAAGGGTATCTTTTGGTTATTATGAGGTTTGAATGAGTACATGTCAACTAATAATACAACACAAAGCATTATGCCTGAAGATTTAATATATTGCATGATTAAACTTGTTTCAGGTCACAACATTGTGTTGCCGAGCCTGCAATTCAGTTGGATTTGATAAACATCAGTGGAAACATACAATTAGCTTTGATATCTTTTCTAAGTCTCTATTGTTTAATTCTTGGCTTATGTTGCCTAGTAAAACATTTGTGTCTTTAGTTTAAAAATACTGAACACAATTCAAAACCTTCCATCGAATTTAACTTGTGTTCTTTTTGTTTTTTTTGGTACTATTCTTTCCATGAACTTGTGCATAGACCTAAAACTTGAAGCCTACCTATACAATATGCATTTTAAGGAATTAACTTCATGATATACTGAGGTACCCCATCCTTCTAGTTTATTTTGATCATCTTCAAAATGGGAATTGTGCAAGTTCAGCTCTTACAACTGCATCTGCCAAGGAGTTTCAACATCTGGATCTTGGCAAACATGAATTAATAAGGCGATCATCTTAAGAAATGTACAAAATCTGAGATATTTTTGGTCAGGAGAATTGATAAGCGGTTGTATTGTGTTGCAGACACAAAGTTCGTTTTATTTTTTTGTAGCTAAAAAAAGAAAAAAAAATAGTGATAGAAGTTGCTTAAGTAGTTTGCACGGGATTTTTACTTTTAAGTTCAAATCTTATTGTTGTGTACACATAATAATAATTATAAAAAAAAGTGCTTGTGATTTTAAATATTTTGTAATGTTCTGTTTCACATAGAGACAGGCAGATTAAGGTGTATCTATAATAAAAGTCTGCCATTCAAAGTTTTTACATGGGTAGAAACAGATGATTTGGCAATTTAGTTTATCACAATTAAAAACATTTTCCACAAAAAAAAAGAATTACTGACCAGAATGTTTATCGGTATTAAATACTTCCACGCACCTATAAATACTCTTTACTTGAACTATTTCAAATTATCAATCGGAATAAGCAAAGAAATTTGGTAATGTTGTCATAAAAAGAAGTTGATTTGTAATCCTCATCAAATAGCTGGAAAATACAAATTAAATGGTTCTGGCTCTTGGACTTTATTGCACACCAAGCCGATTGGAAAATTTCTCTCTTAATCTTAACTGGCATTCTCGAAATTAAATCAAAATTTTCAATAAAAAACTTCTGCATGAAGCACACGTTACTAAAAGTATAAATAAAATTTAAAATATTTCATTTTCCAAACCAGAAGAAAAATAAAATAAAATCTCCCTCCAGTCTTTGAGTTGATTTCAAGAATAGCATTTTCAAACACTGCACATGCCTTGCTAGCTTTCCGTGTAGTGGTCAATGCAGTGAGAAACAAGTATGGTTTTAGTTTTCATTTCTCTTATTCTTCCTCATTACCTCAATCATTCTGACATATACCACTAATTAACCTTCGGAACTAAATTTTGTTATGTTATTATATCCTCTTTGAATTCTGTTTATTTTCAAAACACCTAAAATCAACACCTCCTAGTCGTATTATTTGTACATTTCAATGTAACATTTATTTATAAATCAAAATTAATTTGGAGACATTCCTACTACTTTCAATGATTCAAAATTAATTTCTGTCCAACTTTAAAATAAAGCTACAAGAATCATTTGCTTAATTGAGGTACTTAATCACACTGTCATTTCTTCAATGAGAGGCATCCTTTACAAATGTGCCTGTAATCTATCTATCTATTACATGAGCCCTTGAACAGTTGCGTGTGCCGTTTAACGCGAACCAAATCTGAACAATCTCACCCCTTTATGTGCCATTCAAAATGTGAGGCAATTATTTGATTTTGTTTTTGTCTCATCATATATATTTTTAGTGTGAGACAGTACAACGGTAAAAGCAACACTACATTGTTCTCGTCAAAAGAATTTCAGAAGATAATCCGAATCAGCAATTCTAGCTTCAATTGTTTGTACAGTCAATTTTTAAATAGGTATAAAATTAAATTTGTTGTGTAACGCAAGTACTAGTGCGGTGTCTTTCATTACATTAGTGTCAGAAATGACCTTGCCTTTTAACATAAAAGCTCACAAAAGGGAGAAACAGAATGTCACGGGACTGAAACTGTTATTTGTCATCTTCCACCATATTTTTTGTGCTTGCTAATCACCCCTTTATTGAGTTTTGTTTGTTTCAACATGTCACAACACAAATTAACCTCGATTGGTGACATCATCACTCCCTTATAAGCTGCACAAAAATAAGGTATGTAGTCATATTACATATACATCCACAACTCTCATTCAGCAAAAGGAGTAGATAAGAAACTCTTGTGAAGTCTTCATTTGTCTTTGCATTATTTTCACAACTTCATCTCTTGTTTCTTCCTCTGAATCAGTAACAAGACCATGGAGGTGAATTTCAAGTCTCCTTCCCTTGAAAAACAGGAAGCTGAGGCTGAAGAAGGAGAAAACATGCGCTTTCACAAGTCTCTTCAGGTTCATATATATCTATATATATCTATACATGCACATGTGTTGTTTTGTATGCATGTATTCTGTTCTAGTATTCTACAGTTTTTCAGTGAAGTTCCTCTTTTGGTCATGCTGGTCGTAGGAGCTAAGAGAATTGCAGTCTCAACTTCACCATGCTGCAGATTATTGTGAAACAACTTTCTTGAAAAGTGAAGCTAAGAGAGAGTGAGTCCTTTCTACACTTTAATACCAATCTGAAGGTTATTTTCTTCCTTTGGCTTCAGGCTGGTGCTTTTATCTTTGCCAGTTTTCTATCAGGTTCAGGATTCATTCCTCTTCTGTGGTCTATGTGACATATGACTAGTCATGTCTACATGGCAAGATTTTAGTTGTAAATTCTTTTTCTCCTTGTGTTGAATAATTTGCTAACATTTGTGGCCTGTGAGAGGCCTTTCTGAGTGTCACCCTGATGTTGCACCAGCCCATATAAGTGCAGGCTTGGGCCTAGAAGTTCATTTTGCATCATTGTTTTGGGTTAAAGTTGTCTCCCCAATCCGTAGGGCATAATTGCAAAAGATATGCATTTGTATAATGGGGGACCACTACCCATCATGTCACTGTTCGGGGTTAGCATAATCCAAAATTCAATGAATGTAAATAAGTTTACATTTACTCAAACGCATCGACAGTGTAACAAACTTTTATATTTTTATCTAATCATACATTATCATGTATTATGTATGATAAATTGATTGACTTTTATAATAAATACAAAAGTTATACCGGATTTATTAAAAGTATAGAAATCTTTACACCGGTATAAAAGTTAAACTATAATAACTATTTGTGCTAATTTAGGATGGTAAGGTAATAATATGAAGAGGTGAAGTATATTGTTCACACTACGTTATTGTTGAGTTTTTAGAATGCCACATATTTTGCTTAGAAATCCTAAAATCATAGTGTACTAAAACTTTATATTTTTTTCTGGTATTACTTTTTCAATGAGCTTTCTAATTTTTATCTAAGAGTTTGTTTGTTTGTTTGTTGGATGTGTTGACCCGTGACTGATTAGTATTTGTACATCTTTCAGTGTGATGGAAAACACAAAAGAATACATATGCAGCGCCATGGTCACTGTAGTTGATCATCTTGGGAACGTTTCGGCTAATCTTGAAGGCCTAGTTTCTCAAACAAATGCCTTTTCTGAGGCTGAATCACGAATTCAGTGCCTCAAACAAGTTAGTATTATTACTTTGTACTTGCTCAAAATAGCCTTATCAGTAAGTTATCCAAAAGTTATTTGCATTAACAAAATATAAGATAAATGCTTCAGTGAAGGAGAAAATAAAATATAAAATTTTAACACACATAGCAAATCAATAACAGTTACTGATGATGGTCCTTTTCTACAGAGACTTTTCTCATGTGAACAATATGCTGATAAGCTTAACCTCACAAAAATGAGATGGAGGGAGAAATTGCCAAGATTCCATTCAAGATATTTATCATCACGTAAATATTTGATGTAACCCTTTGAATTTTTTTATAGGGACAAAAAAGTTTCCAATCAATTACATTATATTGTCAGTCCATTATTGTTTTTCCATTTATCTCATTTCTGTTTTATTTGTTTTTTACTTGCTTTCCATGATCAGCACCCATCCTTGAGAGATCAAGCTGTGAAAAATTAAGGTACTCATTCCTCAAAACCCTCATGAATATGACAATGAGTAATGTTTGACCATATGTTTTCTCATAGTCAGAACCTATGATGCACCGATACGATACGCGTATCGGATACGACACGTATCCGATACGGCGATACGATTATTTTAATATATATGGGATACGATACTTGTAAGATACGTGTCATCATATATATCAATGTTCATGCAATATAATAATTGTGTACTTATAATTTTGATCAAAATTCATAAATATTAAATATATAATTTCTATTTTGCAAATCCAAATTAAAAGCATATTGTACATTACTAAAAATAAATAAATTATAAATCATTTTATCATAAATTACTTTTTATTATTTACAAATAGAAATAATATTACCAATTTCATTCATTTCTTAAAATTATCTATATAAAAGACAATTTTCATTTACAGTTCATCAAGGACCAATATTTCTATGTTTCTATATTAAACATGTTTATTGTAATGGATATTAATAATTTTTCAAAAAATTTGAATACTTTATTAATACATATCAATCACTAATAAGTATCAGTGAAGTATCTGAGAGTATCGGAATTGAATAAAATTTTCATAATATTTTTAAAGACCGGGATACTTCATTGACACGTATCGGTGAAGTATCCAAGAGTATCGTATCGGATACGTATCGGATACGGATACGTGAAACAAATTGAAGTATGGGTGCTTCATAGGTCAGAACCAATGAAGACCATGGCATTTTCATCATGATAATGAACTATATTTTACGTTTCAGTTTAGTCTATATTGTATTTTATTTTTATCCAATGCAGAGACTCTAAAACTGAAGATCCCTCAAAAATAGAAGATAAACACATACTAGAAAAACAGGAGGATTTGCCTCTTTTTTTGTACACCCAGAAGGTACATGCAAATAAGAATTTGAAGCCAACCAGCGTTACAACATTAAACAAGCACAACAATTTGACAATGGGTACAAAATTATGTTCTTCTAATGCATATTCTTTATCTTCTACATGGCTTTTTTTTTAGTTGCACCTCTAACATAATTTTCTTTCCATTCTAAAACTATAGTGGTACCTGTTCGGGATGGTTTATCAGTCTTAACAAAAGTTTCAAATCCTACATTTCATTTCCAAGTGAGTTTGTTTTCTGTAATGGTTTCTGAGTCATATATTTGTAATTTGAAAGGCTTATTATTATTATTATTATTATTATTATTATTTGTAGGGTTCCCCGAAAGTTACACGCCATAGAAGATCCTTGCATGGGAGTGACATCTTATGGCTCATTCGGCGTACTAAAAGAATCCAATGAAACTAATAGTTTTAAACACTCATTGTGTTGATGTTCTATCATTTTCGTGTGGAAGTTCAATGTTAGATGTATGATTCAGGAATCAAACATTATCTGCAAATATTTATATTTTGAAGCACTTTGAATGTAGTTGTTTTTGTAATTTTGCTAGTTATAATGATTTAGATTTAGCACGTGTGAATATTCATAGTCACTGAACTGAACAAGACATAAAGTCTGGTTGCATACAAGGTAGAAATGTTTTTGGAAACTTTTCTACTAGAAACAACTCTTTATTTTCAGTAGAGAAACTTTCAAAAGCTCTTCTAAGTTTCTATCCAAATAGAATCATAAGGAAACAACAGCCTGCAAACTAGTTCCAAGGGCAATAACACTAAGATGAGCAAAAAAAAAAAAGGGTGAAGATTTCAAGAATGATTTTACATGAATAACTATCAATCTTCCACTATTTGGAAGTAAAGAAAAAAAAAATTACAACCAGTCCAGCAATTACAAAACCTAATAGTCTGAATGGCATAATGTACAAGCCGGTTATAATAAGAAGCATAAGACCCCATAACATAGTTGTATATAAACTTCCCTTTCTAATCAAGTAGGATCCTGCTTCTACATAACCAGGGCCTTAATCTGAGTGTTTACATTTGCATTCTAGCTTCTTTTTTATTGTGTTCCAATATTTTTCTCTCCCATTCCTATTTTGTTATTGATACTAATGTCGAGCTATGGGACTTTTTAAAGCATTCAAGTACTCAAGTTTGTCCAAATAGAAGGATTTCTGTGGCTGGGGGGTTTTAGGAGATTTATTCACAATCTTTTCATCCTTTTCATTCAAGCACTCTTCCGAGTCTTCTGAGGAGTTACTCTTCCTCATGTCACTCCCCTCCTTGATTGAACTCCAACCCATGAAATCTGAGAGAGTCATTGAAGGTGGTGTCCCTGATGATTTTAAGTTGCTATTCTCCTTCCCAGAGTTTGGGGAAGTTTGCTCTGACACTGATTCCAATGAAATCCTTCTGCTACTCACTACCAATGATGGGTTCTTTGCCACTGAATCAGCATATAAGACATCCTCAATCCTTGAGGTAACTGTGTAAGCCAGGCTTTCTATGACTCTTGAGTAGCTCTCTAGAATGGCTTGTCCCACATCCTGTGATCATTTTGTAATCATTCAAATTTTGTTAGTGGCCATCTTATTTAAAAGTTGAAACACGTGTAACATGAACAAACTAGTTACAAACTTGCAATGTTGTTTGTTTTTACCTTGTTGTATTGGATTTTGCTAATGTCAAGTGAAGATTGTGGAAGTCCTGGGTACTGGTGTTTGAGCATAAGCAATATTGTCTCAGCTCTCTCCTCGAAGAGTTCCCTCTTCTCAATGCTCACTGCTGAACTCCAGGAAGACTTACTATCCTTGTTGGTCATCTTCCTTCTCCATATCACTATGGAAGCTTCAATCCTATTCTTGAGGTCAAGCACCTTATGTTCTGTGGACAAGTCCATTGTTGCGAGAAATTGCCCAGGATCAAAAAATTCCACTGTAATGCTCTTATAGATTGATTCACCAAGGCTTTCTCTACCATTCTGCCAGAGACATGAAGGAGAAGATTGACCCAAGTTACTAGTTTTGTGTTCTAATAAAATGATTAAGAACCTGTTTGGATACACCCTAGAAATGTTTTTGTTAATTTCTCTACTATAAAATAAACTCTTTATTTTTCAGTAGAGAAGCTGACAAAACTTCTAAGCTTGTATTCAAATGGACCGTAAGCCAATTAGAGATTCTTTTGGTCTAATTATATTACCTTGGGGAGTGATTCGATGTAGTTCTCAGGAATCCCCATTTCTGATAGTATTTGAGCATTTATTGCCATGGCTGCTTTAAGCACTTGGGTGACATTGTCCTTCTGGTACTGTATCCATTTTCCGGCTACTTCAGACATTCCTGTTGGGGGAACTTTAACTGTTGGAAGCCACCATTTGTCACTCTTCCTTTGGTTGTTACCCTCAGAATCATCATCATTTTTAGAGACATACCAGAACTCATTTTGATCTCTAAAGTTGTCTAACGTGTCCTGTTCCATTGCTATCTAGTTAGTCCAAAGTGTGTGAATTGAAGCCATTTGAATAGTAATGATTCAGATAGTATTTAATTACTTACAATGAGCATTGCATCAAGCTTGCGCAAGGCCGGGATGTTCATGAGCAGATCAGTTCGTTGCCGAGTAGTCATGATCTACACAATGTCAGAACATATTACTTTGTAAGAGTAGGACAAAAATGAAACAAAGATTTTTGAACCTCTCATTTGTAGTTATACGTTAGTATTATTAAATTTGGAGGGTAAGAAGGGGTTAGTTGGCCTTGGACCACATGGTGTCTAATGAATCTTTGCATGACATATAATTAACTGCTATTAACTTTTTTACGTAAACTGAAAAACTTAAATACATGTTATGTTGAGATTGACCGGGATCATGAATATTTGGTAATTCTATATTATCTAATAATTTTTTGTAAGAAGGGGGCAGGAAGAAGCCAAGAAGGTAGAGGCAAAATAAGGTTGCCTACCTCCATGGTTGATCCATCCTTGGCTATCTGTTGTGATGGAGCAAATTCAACAATATGATCCGTTACAGATAGAAGCCAACCAATTTCTCTTTTCCACCTGGCCTTTCTTTCTGCAGACATTGGCTCCAGCTTTGATGATTCTCCAAAAACAGATGCTGCATTGCATCAATGGAAATTTCATTGAGACTTGAGAGAACACATTTCAATTAGTACACTTAAAATAACGTGCTTGAATTTGAATTGAGATAACTATACTATCAATTAATTGATAGAAATCAAAGCTAGTAGAAGAAATAGAATAACACACGGATTGGAGGGGGAAAAAGGGTATATACCAGCCAGGTTTGTTATGGCATTTGACAAAGCCAATGCTGAAGAAACACCATTCCCTGCACCTGACATGTCTTCTCCTAAAAGCAGCTTAGCAAACCTCTCCTTCATCATGTCAGATTCTGAAATAAAAGCACAAGTTTTTTTAGCAATATGTGCTCAGTGTTATTGATGATCTTCTGGTAACTACCAAGAAGCAGTTTATGATCTTATTTCATCCTTTTGAGTTTTGAGGGTGATCAAATTAATTTAACTGCAATATGAAATCCAGGCACAAGCTTGACTTGGCTTAAAATTTAAAGAGAATATACCAGTTGGTGCCTTTGGCTTTGGAGGTATTTTAGGTGCTTCACAACCCAAGCTTGCTGCTGGACTATGATCACTATTGTGAGCATGTTCAAAACGATGATCAAATGAGCTCTTAGACTCGTAGCTTTTTGAGTACACCTTATCAGTTTCATCAGCTTCGTCGTGATCCCTTTCAAATAAACCATGAATATGTTTCCCTGGAATCTCAAACATTTTTCTGAAATGAAAAGACTTGGACTTCTGCATGCTTTTTTGGTGACGAAAAGCTCGAACCATCGTTGATTCGACCTTTTTTGTGTGTTACCTTTGTTTTATAAAAAAACAAAGGAACAAGGAGTTGAGGTTGAAGTGTTGGCCTTGAACCTATGTTTGTTGTGTTCCTTCTTCTATAGAAAAAAAGTACTATTTGATCAATGAGAGAAAGAGCAGAAAGAAGGGAAAGAAAATAGAACCCCTTCAATCAAAAAGTGATGTTAAAAAATGAAAGCAAAAGAGTCTAAGAGAAAATGAATAAACTCAACACTGTTTCAATGAATTGTGGTGTGCATGTTTGAAGCAGAAAATAATGGGGTTGTTTTGAGGACATGGTTGATAGCTGTTTAGTTTGTTTTATGAATGAATGGTTGAGAGGCTAATACTTGCCATTTGTTACCATAATTGACAAGGAAAGAAATGAGAATCTAAATATAGCAGTTGTTTTTCACGCTATTTCTCTGCCAATTCTAACCAATGCCAAAAATATAATAACAGATTGAAGGAAAAGAATATGAATGAGTGAATGGATGCAGAAAATGGAATTTAGATAACTGCATTTAATGGTTGTCATATTTTCTGTTAATTTGGATTAATTTCCGGAGAGACACATGATTAGGTGACTATAATTAGAATAGGGGCTTGATCATCGTTTTCTTTGTTCACCCACTGCCACTGGATGCAATTTTTACACATATACCATAAACCATAGTGGTATTGTCATGTGTATATGCAAATATAATAGGGTATAACTATTATTGCTAAATATGTTCTCGACAATTTAGTTTTAAGAGCTTATACAAAAAGGAGAGAGATCGGAAAATGAATGAGACAAGTACAAAATTTGTTTCAAATCATCAATAACATGATTTATAAAATTGAGATTAATATATATATATA